CACAGGCAATTAATAATGGTTGTCACGTAAACAAAACGTGACAATGAGTTACTACTTCAGCCCACCGGTGTGTCGGAGAGTAAACCCACAACATTTACAATGTGAGTACAGCGTGTCGCTGGTGATTACAGTCAGCTTCATCAGGCAATTTGCCAGAATTGTAGTTTCATTTGTTTGACCGGAATGTGAACCCCTCACCCCCGACTCTGCCCCAAATTCCCGCAACTCAAGGGCGACCCCTCCCGGTATTGATTCGACAGTGTACTCTGATAGCACGGTATTCTAAAACCACGGTAATCGTACCGTCCGTTTATGAATATCGCTATATCGTGATTAAAGTTGCACATTCTCCCCGGTGTATATGTCCCGACAAAAATGTGTGCTCAGCAATAATAAACAATAATTGTAAATAAATACAGCAGCTCTTGCCCATTCACGCATGCGCGCGTCTCCGCCATAAACAGAAAATGTAAAGACGAGCCAAAGCGGTTGCGAGTCTTGCCATGCAACCCACACTATGGACCGTATAGCAAGCCGACAGAGACATGTAAGAGACTGGTAGATTTATATACCCATAGAGACCGTATAGAAAACCACTTTGCCTGCGCTCATTCAACGGAGGAACAGCAAGACGACACGATCTCTCTTCTGAAGCCATCTCGCCATGCCCAGCAGTCCTCGACATTGGACATTTAGCTCTTGACCCGTAGTTCCTGTTGCCACCACGCACAAGAACAGAACAGCATTCACTTTTGAGCTTCACGAAGCGTGGTTCTGGAACAGTTGTGTGCATGTCCCTCCCCCCGCAACCTCCGTTTAGCACGGTTGGCTACGTACGTTACGAAAGAAGTTAAACACACGTGCGACACGGTGCGTATGTGACAATGAAAGGTATATGACATCGTGGGTATGTGACATGATGGTTATGTGATAAAATGATTGCTATGTGCCATGATGGGTATGTAACAATGATGGGTATGTGACAAAGGGTATGTGACTATGGGAATGTGACATGGTGAGTATGTACAGTAACATGATGTGACATAATGATGGGTGACAATGAGGGGTACGTGACAATGAATTATATAACGTGTATGCGACGTAATGGGTTTGTGACACACCCATCTATGAAGTTCGCCCATGGTTTTGTCTGTATCAGTCATTGGGGGCGCTATCCGCGGTGCTGACTGCATACAGTTGCAATAATGGCCTCACCGTTGTGCGGCCACGCTTTTGCTAATTTTACCGCGTTTGAATAGCTTTGAAGCCAACAAAATAATCAAACGTGAAATAAATGTACAAATCTTGATTCGAAGCTTTCGTGGCTGCAGGAATCCATACTCTTTGGTTCTTTCGGTGAAGAACCCAAGAGCATGGATGTACAAAGTTACGATAAACTTATATCGAATTAATGACGATCATATATTCGAGAGCAAAACATGAATGAATCGTGAAAGATACCGTATCGGTGGAAATACGATGCGGTAGATAGGACCCCCATCCATTACTCATCACCGTCATGTGCTGGCGGCACAGTGACAGATTGTGGAATCCATCTGTGCGGAGTTGTAAGCATTACCCAATGCGGCAGCGCAATCTGTTATTGACCTGAGCGAGGGATTTCCTGGACACGTAAAGGACAACGCTGGAGTCTAAATTCGCCAAGTAAAACAGAGCAAGTATCGGTCCCCTCGTGGCTGGTGCTCATTCCACCGTGTGTCGTAAGGGGCCGTCCATAAATGACGTCACGCGATTTTAGACGATTTTTGACCCCCCCCCCAAAAAATATATATAAAACATGCTTCAAATCTCTTTAAACTATTGTCATTGTAGTGCGGTATTTAATGTGGCGCTGCACTCTGACGTTGTAGGAGAAAACATTTATTAAAAAGTCAATTTAATTAAGTAGAACGTGTTGTCTATATTTATTTAAAGTTGCGCATTTTAATGTGACGTCACATTTCTCAAACCCCACCCCTCGTCACACATCGTCACAAATATCTGACCCTCCCACCACCCATAGGTGCGTGACGTCATTTATGGACGGCCCCTTAGTGTCCGTAAGCCCTGAGGCCGACTGTGTCTATTGGACTACGCGGCGCTGGTGGAAGAGAGTCCCTACAATATTCTTTGGGTATTTCGGTAAAGTCACGTAAGTAGAAAAATCATTTTAAAAAATTCACGTTTCGATCGCAACACAAGCAATCGTCTTTAGAAATAGGGTTTTTCCCTCTTTATCTGGCAAAAAAACTGAAACCTTTTACAAGGAATCATGTGTGCATTAACCACAATACTTGTGGTCAAAATGCACACAAAAAACACACTATGATCATATGATGCATTGTCCTTGAATCTGATTGGTCCACGCCAGAGACGGCTTTCTTTTGACCCTCCACCCAATTGGTGCCAGACCAGATGACGCCAAAAGGGGTGCAGCTCAAAGACAATGCCACTATCAAAGTAATGAGGGCTCGGGGTAAGCATCTACATCATTAGACCTCCTTAGTACTGGCAAAGGAGGTCTAATGATGTGAAATCGTCTTTAGGTTAATAAAAAAAAATTCGATCGAAACGTCGTGATTTAAAAAAAAAACATTTTTTTCTATCTTTGTGACTTTACCGAAAGTTCAAAAGAGTTATGTTTTTTCCTGCAGTCACGAACGCTTTAAGTCAAGATTCAGTCCCTAGAATAACGAAACTTACAATTCTCTGCTTTCACATCTACGTCTCTCCACGTTTAAAAGACATGAAAGCATTTTTTTACACATCCCGTCAGCCACCCCCCCCCCCCCAACATTGCATTCCCATCGGCAGTTTTCAGTTGCAGTTTCATTTATTTGGTAGAGCCCTGTGAGCCATTCGGCTCTTGAATCGGGTGCTAACCACAACAAACAAAAAACAAAAACATGAACAAGAAAACATATTAAAGTGACTGACTGCGCAAACAGAAAAATCGAGTAAAAAAAACCTGCAAAAATTTTCCATAAAAAGCACCGTACACCAACGCGTTTGTGTGCAACAATCCCAGTTGGATGGCATTGCTTCAGCACAAGCACAAAAAACCCTGCAGGTTTCTAAATTCAGCAGCAGCAGCTCGAGCCAAGGCGAAGAGGGTGCTAGAGACACGGGCCCCTGAGGTCCAAGAATAAATGTAGTTATTAGCGATAGTTTAACACGAAGGCCAACGTAACACGCAGGCTTCTTGTGGGTACTGTGAAGTGAACACACAAAAACACGGAGCAAACGAAATAAACTTTTTTTTATATATATATTCTTGGTTCTTTCGGCAAAGCCACGCAGAAGGGAAACAACAAAACAACAAAAACACAAAATAATAAAATTCTCACGACGTTTCGACTGCAACACAAGCAACCATCATCAGGTGTGAAAACCACAAGAAAATCTGAAAAAAGTGGCGGCTATTTTTAACGTTAGCACCACGGAGAGCGATTTGACAGTTTGTTCAGATGGACGAGTCCATCTATGTTCGGAAAAGAGGAGGGGGGAGACGAAAAATAATGGATGCGGTCTGAAAGCCACCTTAAGCGTGATCAATCAATTAAGACCCGAAATGGTTTATCAAATCCTTCCAATGATTGCTAAGCCAGAATCCATCTTCTCGGTTGAAATTGTCTCTGTGTTTGTATATGTGGATAGCCTCATGGTTAGCCAGATGGCTTGCAAAGAACCTCTGTCTTGGAGAAGTCAATGTCATGTGAGCCTACTGAATTATAACAGTGATCTGCCACGGCCGAGGTGTTGGTCCTACCGTGTTTCAGGTCTGCTTTGTGTTCACGAATGCGTTCCGAGATATGTCGTTTGGTTTCTCCAATGTAACTACTACCACAGAGGCAACTTAGTTTAAACTTTGTTCGGACCGGAGGAATCCGATGAGCAATGAAGCTATTTTCTTTTTTCACAGACGTAAACAGTAAAACACGAACCGGCATCGCTGTGGGGGAAATGTTAGTAATGGGATGTGTAAAAATAATAATAACAGCGTGACGTTTTTTTAAGTTGAAGGGGTAACATTTTATGAACGCAGTCCACGACTTGCCTGACACGTTAAACTGTAGACACCTGATGATGATTGCTTGTGTTGCAGTCGAAACGTCGTGAGAATTTTATCGTTTTATATTTTGATTATTTTATTGTTTGCCCTCTACGTGACTTTACCGAAAGAACCAAGAATATGAATGTCTGCAGTCACGAAAGCTTTAAATCAAAATGTAGACACGTTGGCACGGCAAGGACGACGCCACTCGTCACCATTTAAGGGGGGGGGGGGGGTGTCGACATCTCTCTTCTATTCTGCTTTATACCTACGCAGGATCACCAATTAATATCCAGATGGTACGGACCTCACCCCCCTTTTCTGGTTCTGAATGGTACAGCCCAGACTCGACTCATCGTGGTCGAGTGCATCTTCAATTCCCCTCTGTTGGTGAATGGTACAGTCCGGGCCGTTACCATTTATGACGGTAAATGAGGGCGCGTTTGTGTAATGTGCATAAGCCCGTTCACTCTCCTCTGTGATATTCAATATAAACGCAACATAATAGACAATAACACCGTGCCTTTGAAAGAAAACAGAAATAATCGGCGATGTTTCCGGCATGGCCCTTCTTCGCAGCACACAATTTATATGCGAATAACCCATCTCATTTATGAAGCTACCTAAATGGTACAGCCCGGACAATACCAAGTGTGGTTATATATAGGGGTATCATCACTGTACAATGGAACGATCCCTTATATTCATCCCTGATATTGTATTAATGGTCCGGCCCGGACTGTACCACTCTTGACATCTCACAGGGGTAATGTTTCTGAAATCTGGGTTCGCCCGCGGACTCGGCTATGAGAATGTATGAATGGTAAACACTGGGCCATACCACTATTGAGCATCACTGTGGCGTTACAGACTTCCCCCCTCCCCCGGCCCCCACTTCTCGACTGTATAAATGAGCATCCAGTGCACCTACACTCCCTCACCTATCATTAAAACAATTACATCCCGAACCATAACCCCTCCTGACCACTCACAATTCGACAATTGTAGGAATCTGGAATAGTTCATCTTACAAACATCCCCCTCTAAGCAACTAAGTGGTACAGCCCAGAGCGTACCACTCTTGACTCCTCCCCCCCCCTCTCCACGCGTCGCTAATGCGCTCGGCCGCGCGTCTCCGACCCGTTCCGTCTCCCCCACCGTTCGCCCGCCACTGTTCGCGACAGCTCAGCTGGGTTCGCGCCGCGTCCTTAAGGAGCTTCTCTGATGTAAGGTACGTTTGTGTTGAGGTGAAGGACAAGAGCGAGGGCTTACGGGGTTCCAAATTAAATTCTGTTCGGAGTAAAACAAAAACAAAAATTTCTAAAACAAATCAAACACGCGATCCGATTTCTGTTCCGAGCTGGGGCGGTGGGGGTGGGTGGTGGTGGTGGTGGTGGTTTCTGTGGAGGTGTCGTGTGGTGGTGCCCCTCCTGTTCCCAAAGGCGATCTGCACTTGTTCAGAACACTTGTCCGCGTGTGTCTGCTGCTGCCGAGTGTGTCAGAATCGATTCGGAACGTGTGGCGATGTCACAGGTACATAATGGCCGACAGCAGCTTCCACACTGATTTATCACTCGCCACCTGCTTGTGTGTGTGTGTGTTTACACGTGTGTGTGTGTGGTGAGTGTGTGTGTGTGGTGAGTGTGTGTGTGTGGTGAGTGTGTGTGTGTGGTGAGTGTGTGTGTTTAAACGTGTGTGGTGAGTATGTGTGTGTGTTTACACGTGTGTGTGGTATGTATGTGTTTCACGTGTGTGTGAGTGGTATGTGTGTGTGGTAAGTATGTGTGTGTGTTTAAACGTGTGTGTGTGGTGAGAATGTGTTTAAACGTGTGTGTGGTAAGTATGTGTGTGTGTTTAAACGTGTGTGTGTGGTGAGAATGTGTTTAAACGTGTGTGTGGTGAGTATGTGTGTGTGTGTGTTAAAACGTGTGTGTGTGTGGCATGTGTGTGTGTTTAAACGTGTGTGTGTGTTTAAACGTGTGTGTGTGGTATGTGTGTGTGTGTGTTTAAACGTGTGTGTGTGTGTGGTGAGTATATGTGTGTGTGTGTTTAAACGTGTGTGTGTGTGGTGAGTATGTGTGTGTGTGTTTAAACGTGTGTGTGTGGTGGGTATGTGTGTGTCTGTTTAAACATGTGTGTGTGGTGAGTATGTGTGTGTCTGTTTACACGTGTGTGTCTGTTTACACGTGTGTGTCTGTTTACACGTGTGTGTGTCTGTTTACACGTGTGTGTGTCTGTTTACACGTGTGTGTGTGGTATGTGTGTGTGTTTACACGTGTGTGTGTGGTGTGTGTGTGTTTACACGTGTGTGTGTTTACACGTGTGTGTGTTTGCACGTGTGTGTGTGTGTTTACACGTGTGTGTGTGGTGAGTATGTGTGTTTACACGTGTGTGTGTGTTTACACGTGTGTATTTATGTATGTGTTGTGTTAGGTAGGGGAAGCGGTAGTTGTAGAGGTTGGCGCGCCAGCGATACGAACCCAGCCCACCCGAGATCCAGTTCAGCTCACGGCCAACACCACCAGTGACAAATTCACTAAATTGGTGCTGGGTCTCCACTAGGTCCGCTGGTGGACTGGCTCGCGATTGGCGAGACACTCTGTTAAGGCAATACGGGGAATCTTTGTGTTAGTTTACGCGTATGTGTTGTGCAGTGTGTCTGTGTGCCTGTATTTACACGTGTGTGTGTGTTTTGCATATGCTGATGCTACGTCATGCAGTGTGTACAGTACATGTACTGTGTTGCCAATGGACTGTGGTTCACGTAATGTGTACGTCGTGTAAGCGGACTGTGTGATGTGTGTATGCACTGTGGCCCGTGTATATGTGCGCTGTGTATATAGTATACACTGCACGCGCACGCCGCACTGTATGTGTACATGCACATCGCTCGGTGTACCGTATGTGCACTGTGCCTCTATGCACTGTACTACTTTGTATACACTGTGCTGCTTGTGTGCAACGTGTGTGCACTGTATGGTGTGTGTACGCTTTGCACATGTGCACTGTATTGTGTGCATGTGCACTGTATGTGTACACTGTATTGTGTGTGTATATTGTGTACGTGTACACTGTATTGTGTGTGTGTATACTGTGTACATGCACTGTGCACATGTACACTATTATATGTATATACACTGTATATGCACACTGTATTGTGTATATGCACTGTGTACATGTATACTGTATTGTATATACACACACACTGTACATGTACACACTGTATGTATATACAGTGTGTACATGCAGTGTTGTGGGGAGCGGTAGTGTAGCGGATAGTGCGCTGCGCCGTTAGTTCGATTCCTACACCAGTGACGATTATCTGAACTGGTCCTGGGCCTCCCTTAGGTCGACTCAGCCTGAAACGAGTACCCGGTGCGGCGTGTAAACATCGCCACCGGGGAGACGAAGGCGACCGTGCGTGTTGCTGGCCACCCACCCCCATCGTGTGCCGTGCCGGCCTTGATAGGTGCTCGCTAACAGCACTTGCCCCAGCAGTGTGTTACAGGCTGTACGGGGGGGGGGTCTTTGTCTTTGTGTGTTTATGTACTGGATTCTGTGCTGCTGCTGCGCCACATGTTCAGGTGACTCATCCGCCTGATGGGCGCAATCACCACCACCAAATTACACGACGAATCACCACCTGCCCAGTCCACAGTGGTGGGGCACAGTGTGGGTAACCCCGATCGTATACGTCAGAACGTCATACTGAGACAGTGCTGCTCTTGCTGCTGCTGCTGATGATGATGATGATGCTGCTGATGATGATGATGGGAATTCCACGTTGCCCTGGCAGGCCCTCGAGACATGAGTGGGAAAACAAGCACGGTGTGGTGGCGTTGTTGTGAAGTGCTGTACCGTGTGTGTGTGCGTGTGTGCGCGTGTGTAACGTTGAGGAACTCGGCACAGAGGATCTCGGCCACAGCCACGCAGGTCAGAGCAGTTTCCCGAAGGAGTTTCCCATAACTTTGCGATTAACTCTTCACCACCGCCGCCACCACCGGCACCACCAACAACAACTTCGCCGCTAAGTGGTGGTGACGTCATCACGGTGCTTTTGTGCCAGGCTAGGTGCACCTTGAGACCACGTGAAGTGTCTAAGGCTTTTGTTGCTGGCAGGAGGTCACGGGGCAGACCCAGGTGCCGTGGGTTGACCGACTCGGATAATTGGCCGATGCAACCACAAGACAAAGATCCCCCGTATAGCTTCAACAGATTGTTGGGGAAAGTGCAGTTAGTGAGCACCTATGAGGGCCGGCACGGCACACAATGGAGTGGGCAGCCAGCACCACGCCAGACCGCCTTTGTCTCCCTAGTGGCGTTGTTTAAACACCGCACCAGGCACTCATTCGAGGCTGAGTCGACCTAGGGAAGGAGGCCCAGGACCGTTTCAGATAATTGTCACTGGTGTCGGCCACGAGTGGGAATCGAACCCGGGTGGCCGGGGTTTGTCGCGCAGTGCTTCTCTAACCGCTACACTACTACCGCTCCCCACGTCACCACCACCACCGCCATCAGTGGAGAAGCACAATAGAACGACAAGAGCGCTGCACCAAGGCTGCCACGGCACAACACCATGCGCTTCGAGAAATCGCAGAGAGTTTCCAAGGCAACCCGGTCACGTGTTGTGCACCGCAGTGTGAAATGCACCGACACGCTGAGACCCCAACTCGTGTACACGTGGGTCAGCGTCGCGTGTCGGACTCTGCGGGGGGGGGGGGGGGGGCACGGTGGTGGTGGTCGTGGCGGCGGGGGGAGGGGGGTTTACGTGACGAGGTCGGATACGTGAACATGTGTAGAGAATGACAGCGACACTGAAACGAAACTTAAAAACATTTTTTTTTATTTTACCATGCGAGGGCCCACTGAGCTGCGAAGCTCTTTTGAAGACGCGACCAACCTGTGGCGAATAAATAGCTCAAAGAAGTGGCTTAACGTCTGGGGATTTTTTTTAGCGGCCAAACTACTCCAGAACGCGTGTTGTTGTTGATCCTTAACGTCGAGGGGGAAAACCGGAGGACCCGGAGAAAAATCCACGCAACGACGGGGAAAGAGAGAAATGCAAACTCCAAATTTGCAATAGGCGTCAGGGTGGGAATTTAAACCCACGACCTCCTGTACACCGAGCGAAGGCGTTAACATCTTGTCCCAGTAACACCAGGCGTGCACGAAGGGGCCATCCATTTAGTACGTACGCATGGAGGGGGTTAACGCAAATGCGTACGCTTGCGTATGGGGGGGTCTACTGACAATGCACGTACGCATAGGAAACGGGGGGGGGGGGGAGTGGAGGTGAAGCCTCGATAATAATTTGTCTACATTGGCCTTCGAATGAGCCACAGTTCAGGTTCTTCAGCTGTCAGACAACAAGTACTACCGGGAGAAGTGGGACTGTGGGAGAGGTGTCACTCTTTGTGTGCCACCGTGCCCCTGACCGCGAGCTATCACGCAGCTCGGCAAAATAAGTGGTCAAGGTACGCAACTTAATTCTTTAATGCAGCCGGCCGTGGTCTATCTGTTTGCTCAAACACGTTAATATTAGTAATCCTTGATCGCTTCTGCGTGAATTAAATATCGGCCGTTCTGTAGGATTCGGGGGGGGGTGGGTGGGTGCGTCAAGCGTACGTACGCAGGGGGTGGGGGGGGTATAAAAAGTACGGGTGGGTACAGGGAGAGGGGGGAGGGGTCAAGCTTTGACAGATTTTTTGCCTACGTACTAATTGTATGGCCCCTAAACAGGTCGCTGGAAGTAGCAAGTTTCTCGAACTTCCACCCCCCGCCTCCTCTGCCCGTCCCCTCCCCCAGCAGCAGCAGCAGATGATGCTGTGTGAATAGATTCAACCCCCCCCCCCGCGAGGTCTGTGACGGGCAGGTCACCGCGTGTGGTAGAGGTGGTGGGGTAAAGTGTGGGTAACTCGCGAGACGTTAATGGCTCGGCGCTGAAGGGTGGGCCCCTTCTCTCGTTGCGCTCTGCCCTCCTCTCATCTTAGCACAAAGGTTCCATTTCTCCGCGAGCGTCGTTCTTTGTAAACAAAATAAAACTCAACGGCGAACGTCTCTGATGCGCGTTAACAAATCGCACCAGATCTGAATGCCGTCGCGACGGTAGTGGGATTTTGTGGGGCGACCATCACCGCCGAATGAAGTGGACGGCGCCTGTAGCCGGCGGGTTTTGTGTCTTTTTTTTCTACCCCCTACCCCGGTTGCCGTCGTTGTGCTGCGCGGTATTAACCGGGGCGGCCACGGGGCATGAACCGCGAACCTCATCTCGCCACATTTTTCTGCGGTGGCTAAGAGATGTTAGCTACCTCGCCCGGTATGCAGGAGGTTCGTGGGTTCGATCCCGACACTGACGCCTACTGCTGTATATTTGGAGTCTGTGTCTCTCTCTCATCATCATCACGGTGGCTAAGAGATGTTACCTACCTCGCCTGGTATTTAGGAGGTCGTGGGTTCGATCTCGACCGCTGACGATGCCTGCTGCTGTATATTTGGAGTCTGCGTGTCCCTCACTCTCCTCGTGGTCACGTGCATTTTTCTCCGGGGACCTCTGTTTCTTTCCCCTCCACGCTTTAGAATCAACATCCCGCTATAAATTTCCACGTGATATGCCACTTAATTGGACTATCATTTGTGACAGCCAGGGCGCTTCTGAAAAAAGAGCTACATAGCTCAGTGGGTCTTACCTGGTAAAATAAAAATGTGTTTAGTCTTAGTTTAGTCTCTCTGCTGCTCCTGGTCACCTGCTCCGGATCCTCTGCTCCGTCGTTAATTATCTCCCCGCGGCTCTCGACATCACTGGAAACACCTCTTCTTGCTCACGGTTCTCCATTCCTTAACCTGTCTTTGCGATAACAACAACAACAGCTGTACTGATCACTTGTTTACTACTCCCCTCGCGTGCAATGCCGCCGGCCTTCATCTGTGCTTGCCACTGTGCCCCAACAGTCTGTTCAAATCTTTGTCTTTTTGTTGTGTGTGCACGTTTGAATGTTTTGTATCACTTTGTGCGCGTGTCGATTCAGGCTCATGACGAACATTTGAACTGGTCCTGGGCCTCCGCTTGGTAGAGTCGGCCTCAAATTAGTACCAAGTGCGGTGACTAAACATCGGCACTGGTGAGACAAAGGCGGCCAGGCGTGGTGTTGGCCACCTACCCCCTTCTTTACCATGCCGGTCTTCATAGGTGCTCATTAACAGCACTTGCCCCGACAGTCTGTTAAGGCTATACGGGGGGATCTTTATTGTTTGGTTGTGTGTATGTGAATACCGCATATGTATGTGTGCATGTGAATGTTTGTACTCTGTGTGCGTTTGCGAGAATGTCTGTGTGTGTGTGAGAGAGAACTGTACACGTCACAGATTCCCACTCGCATCCCCGTGACGAACCCCCCCCCCCAGTGTCAACACAACCCCCAGGGCCTCTCCACTCACACGAGACAAAGATCCCCCATAGAGCCATACAAACCGTTCGGGGCAAGTGCTGTTAAGCAGTCACCTATTGTGGTTGGCACAGTGCGAAGAGAATGGTGGTGGAGGGGGGGTCGGTTGTGGCCAGTACTTCACTCAAGATACATTTTGTCTCCCCAGTAACGAATTTTTTTTCACATTGCACCAGGTACTTCATTTAATGCTAAGCCAACCCAGGGGGAGGTACAGGACCGGTTCAGATATCACTCGCTCCCGCCGCTCATGTTGCACTGTGACCGAGAATTGAACTCGTGCCGCTGGGTTCACGTGCCTACAAAGACAAAGATCTGCACACACAGCCTTAAGAGGCTGTTGGGGCAAGAGCTTCCAGTGAGCACTTATGAAGGCCGGTACAGCACACAATGGAGTGGACAGCCAGCACCACGCCAGACCGCCTTTGTCTCCCTAGTGGCGATGTTTACACACCGCACCAGGTACTCATTTGAGGCCGAGTCGACCTAGGGGGCGGGCCAGGACCAGTTCAGATAATCGTCACTGGCTTTGGCTGTGAGCGGGAATGGAACGCTCGTCGCCGGGTTCGTAGCGCAGCGCACTAACCATTACACGACCACTCCTCACAAGCTACACAACAACAACAACAACCGGTGCTTGTGCCTGGCTATGTGCACGTTGAGGCCACGTGAAGCTTCATAAAGGCTCGCTGCTGGCAGGAGGTCACGAAACAGACCCCCAGGTGCCAAGGGTTGAATGGCTGAGATGACTGACAGATGCACCACCTGTATCCCCCCACTGCGCCACCACGCTCTATTTTAGCTGCCTGGCATTCCTCTGTCCTCCTCTCATGCTGGAGGGCGGCTCCCACCAACTGCCCAATAGCGTCCTTCACAAGCCTCCTTCACAAAGGCCGATTTTGAAACCGCTGGTACCAGTCATCAGCCAGTCCAATTAGCTCTACATGATTTTGTACTGCATTAAACCCACCTTTTCTCCAGCCCCATGCCATGCCCGTTTAGCCCCCGCTATCCAGCCAAATAGAAGTTGCCTGGGCATGCGGTGGCTGGGCATACGGCTATGTATCCCAGCCAATACAGCCTCGCCTGCCTGAGGAGCTTAGTGTAGGACTGTGTCCAGATCTTTCAAGGATCTGTGAGCTCCTCGCACTGTAACTCAGTCTGGTTTAATCCAGAATGGATGGTAGGCAAGGCCAGCCTGAATGTTTCTAACCGGACAAAAGCACAGATTTTCACGTGCACACATGCACCGACACACACGACGAGTTCCGCGTCCATCACTCACACAAAGTCCGGGGAAACGGGTTTCATAAACCTCGCCCCTCCTCCCACCGCCCCTCCCCTTCCCACAGGTGAGACTCACCTGCCTGACCGTGTCTGCCCAGTACCACCACCACCACCGCTGCCGCCGCCAGCCAGCCAGCCGAGCATGCACCCCAGAAGAAGCGAGCCGTGAAACACATGTGCGCGACTGTGGCATGGTGCCGGTGAGTCTGTTGCTATGATTCGGATTTCTCACGTGACGAAGCGGCAGTTTTTGTCACGATTTCTGTTCGGCTTCGTTGCCCTACTTTATTTTCTCGTGTTTTTGCCGCCTGTAATTTTGTTTACCAGGCTCACTTTTGTGGTAGATGAGACCCCATCCTGGTCTCTTGAGTTTGTTACCTTGGCTGAACAAAATGAGCTTGCACCTGAGTGATGGCACACAGTGCCTGTCTGTATGTGTGTGTGTAAGAGCCTGTGAAAGTGAGTGTGGTCAAGCGTTTAAGAGTGTGGGCGAGCATGTGAGAGAGTGAGAGAGAGAGTGACAGTGTGTGTGAGAGTGTACGATAGAGTTGGTCAACCCATGGCACCTGGGTCTGTCCAATGACCTCCTGCCAGCGGGCGTTCAACACTTCACGTGTTCCTTAAAGTGCACACAGCCTGGCACAAGCGCCTTGGTGATGTCACTGCCAGATAGTGGCGAGAGGTGGTTGTTGCTGTGAGAGTGTGAGTGCACCGAGCCTGGCACAAGCACTGTGGTGAGGTCACCATCACTTAGTGGTGAATGGAGGCTGTTGTTGTTGTGTGTGTGCGCGTCAGTGTGAGTGTTTTCGTGTGTGTGTGAGATTATGAGTGTCAGTGAAATACGGCGTGTGTGTTGTTGTTTTTGTGTGTGGCTATGAGAACACGTGTGTGTGTGTTAGTGTGTGGCTGGTACGGTGTGCCAAGGTGGCTGGGCGCGGTGTGTGCGTGCCTCTTCCATCTCCGCCCGCGGTATCTGCGTGCGCGCGTTCTAACTTCATGACGCAAACTTGCATAGAGCAATCACGGAGAGGAAGATCTACACAGGTGGTTAGAGCAAGTGCTGTTCGCACCTACGGAGGCTGGCACTGCACACGAGGCAGGTGGAGGAGGGGCCGATGTGGCCAGAACCACACCCTGTCACCTTTGCCTCCCCATTGTCGTGTGTGTGTGTCTGTGTACACGCGTCATATCCAGCGATGTATTATTATAGTTTCTGTCTTCTGCGTCTCATTCCTACTCAATGACGCAAACAGCGCCCGACCTTTAAACCGTAGCCCTGCCACACCCTCACCCCACCGCCTGGGGGAGGGGGGTTGGCCCAGTGCCTTTTGACTCCAGCCCGGTTCCCTTTGACAGTACAGGTGGTATCCCAAGTGTCCTTCCGCCTCTGACGTGCGGGGGTCATCATTACTCTCGTGGCGAGATGTTAACTACCTCGCCAGGTATACACGAGGTCGTGAGTTTGATCCCGACCATGACACCCGCTGTATATTTGGAGTCTGCGTGTCTCTCTCTCTCTCTCCCCCCGTGGAGGACCTCCGGTTTTTCTGTCTTCATATTTATAATCAACATCATGCGTTTTGAGTATTTGGTTCGTGTACATTTCCAGATTTTTGTTGAGCTATCATTTGTTATAGCCATGTCGCTTCTGAAAAGAGCTGTGGGCCCTTACCTGGTAAAATATTATTTTTTAAATAGTTTAAGATGATCCCACACGCGTGGGACTCCGGTGTGAATTTGTGCCACGATCAGGCGCACATAGAGACGGACTAAGATGCCCTGTGTAGCCTTGGGGCAAGTGCTGTTAGCAAGCAGCACCAATTAACCCAGGCATAGCACACAAGGTGGTGGGTGGCCAGCACCACGCCCAGCGGCCTTTGGCTCCCCAGTGCTCTTTTATACATGCCGCACGAGGTACTCATTTAAGGCCAAGTCTACCTAGGGGAGGCACAGGACCGGTTCAGATAATCGCCATTGTTATTGGCCGTGCACGGGAATCGAACTCTGGTCGCTGCGTTCATAGCGCAGCGCGCTAACCGCTGCCCCACCGCTCCCGACTCGTATACACTTTCTCATTCAGCTAATATTTTCCACTAAGTGACGGTAACGTCACCGCAGTGCTTGGGCCAGGCTAGGTGTACTTTGAGGCTACCACGTGAAGTGTTGAAGGCTCGCTGCTGATTGGAGATCACGAGACTGACCCAGGTGCCGTGTCTTTCCTGACTGACATGACCAGCAGATGCACCACCGGTGCTTCCTACATGCAAGTATACACACTTGCACATGCAGATAAGGTATTTGATAACTTAACACACGTGGAATCGGCGCTATCATTGCCGTAGCACACGCTGATCATCACGAAGGAAGGCGCCGCCGTGTCTCACACATGCAGCCTGCGGTAGTTTCGCGGTAGCGGGTGGGTGATGATTGCTGCTCCTGCTGCACGCGCGTGTTTGCGTGTGATCCCAATCGAGTGACTTATCGGTGTTATTTCTGAACGGCCACTGCGGTCGAAGCTTGAGACGGTGCGGGGCGGCAGCTTTACCTTCATTAGGATCGGTATGCACCACGGTGTTAACCGGGGTGGCCCGCGCGGGCTCGAACCGCGTGAGCCTCCACGCGCTCAAACTGCGAACGCGCTGCCAACCGTGCCGTGCCGGGCGCGTGTCGTTGTTTGATTTCGTTACCTTCTGTGTCCGCGTCTCTGTCATCGCGTCGATGCAAATGAGCGCTTGCGAAATTCAACTGGCAGGGTGGGGAGAAGGGGATGGGCGAGTCAGTGTGGAGTCACAGGGCCCAGTGTCTGAGGTCAACCTCTCTGTTTGGACCTGTGAGCAAGGTGGGAGAGTGCGGGAGTGTGGGGTGGGTACCGTCTGGATCCCTCCCAGCGTGTCTTGTCTCCTTACCCGCCTGCCTTGTCATTTTATCTCTCAGTGTGTCTATCTCCTTATCTACCTGCCTCTCAGTCTGCCCCCTTGCCTGTCTGCCTGCACATCTGTTTGTCACAGACAGGCAAAGACACACAGACACGGTTAAAAACAAAGACAAAATATCCCCGTATAGCCTTGAGCAGCAGGTCAATGGGGCATTTGCTGTTTGCACCTTTGCAGGCTGGCACGCCGCACAAGGAGGTGATGATATCCACCACGCTCGGCAACCTTTGTTTCTCCAAATGCTGATGTTTACACACCACACCAGGTCCTCATTTTAGGCTTAATCGACCCAGAGGAGGCCCAGGATTTGTTCAGGTATTCGTCATCGGTGTTGGCTGTGAGCGGGAATCTAACTCGGGTCGCTGAGTCTTTAGCGCGGCACGCTAACCACTGCACCACCGCTCCCCGCTTCAGACACTCAAGCCGGCGAAACACTCAGACACACTCGGACGCACACTCACGTGGCGGTGGCTGCAGTGTGCCTGTTATTTTTTGTGTGTCTCGGTGTGTCTCGCTCGTCGAGGTCTGGTCGCGATCTGCACAAACAAAATATTCGGCGGCTGAGTAATGCAAAGCGGTGGGTGGTGCTGGCCATTGTTGGTGGCGGTGGTGGTGGTTGCGGTGTTGACATTTTGACAGTGGTTTCCCGCACGAGAGATGGAGTAATCAGGGAAGTTCCGACAGGCGCGGTGTGGGCGAACAGACAGCCGCGCCCACGGCACAAAAACAAAGATCGCCACCCCCCCACCCCCCCCCCCCGTGTAGCCTGAGAAGACTGTTGGCAAAAGTGCTGTTAGCGAGCAACGCCCTATTATTACCCACAAGTCAAATCGAGTGATGTTAACTGAGGCAGGCGGCCACTGTGGTGTGGTAGTGGTCAGCAGAGCACGGACTTGCCCATCCCGAGTTCGCCGGTTTGTTTTAGATTACTGAGAGTATTTGGCTCCTATAAATTTCCACGCGCTAAGCCGCTTCGTTGAGCTGTCATTTGTGGTCAGGTCGCTTCTGAAAAATAAGCTAATAGCTCGTTGGGCTTTGCCTGGTTTAAAAAAAAAAGTTTTAGTTTTATTTGTATATTGTTATTGTGATTTGCCGACCTTGTCCTATACTTTGCACTCATGTCATGTTTTTGTATTGTTGTAGCGTGTGAAAAAGAGCTTTATAGCTCATCGGATTCCTCCATGGTAAATCAATATTATGATTCCACTCCCATCTCCCGGCGTGGCAGCTGAGAAAATGGAGGTCGGTGGGGGGGAGGAGCTCTTAGATCCCACCCCCCCACTCCACCTCCCTCCCCCACCCCCCCCCACTCCACCTCCCTCCCCCACCCCCCCCACTCCACCTCCCTCCCCCACCCCCCCACTCCACCTCCCTCCCCCACCCCACCTCCTTCCCTCCCTCCCTCCCTCCCCCACCCCACCTCCCTCCCCCACCCCACCTCCCTCCCCCACCCCACCTCCCTCCCCTCCCCCACCTACCTCCCTCACTCCTGGCTCGATCTCCCAAGCAGAATAATATTGGCACCTCCGATTTGCTACGCACGGTGCCAAAGAAGTTCAACATTACATGCGCACATAGATAAAGGTGTGCAACCCAGATGAGTTGATCTGCATGTCGTGTGTGGTGGGGTAAAGTGTGGGTACTCTCAACTCTTCCTTCCAGGACATCTGGCCAGCATGGAAGATTAGACCAAAATGCCCTCTTAACGATGCCCCCTCACTCCCACGCACGCACGTACACACACGTGCACGTACACACACACACACAAGTACACGCACGTGCACACTTGCACACACAATGAACCCTCATACACAATACGCGCCCTCACACGTGCTTGCATGCACAAACAATGTACGCCCTGTGCTTTGGGGACAGACACCCACACACGCGCACACGCACGCACAATGCACGCCCTGTGCGTTTGGGATGCAGTGAAGTTCGCGTCTCGGTGAGAGTCGACTCTTCTGTCTGTCCTGACCTTTCACAGTCGGAAGCAACACTCCTCCTCACATTGCACTCACTCAGCTCCCCATCCTGCTTCTCGCGTACACAGTGGGTTAAAGTGGGAGTTAGGGGTCGAGTTGCTTTGGCGATGTTGGTGTTGCCCTCTGCTGGTAGTGGTTGGTGGTAGTGGGGGTCGTGATGGTGGTGATGGTGGTAGTGGAGGTAGTGTTGGTGATGGTGGCAGTGTCTGTGGTCAGGCGTGGTGTTGGCCACCCACCCACCCCCTCGTGTGCCATACTGCCCTTCATATAGGTGCCCATGTA